CATGGTGAGCAGGTGACGCTTTCCTCAGTGTGTCCATCACAGAGCAGGGGGCTGAGTCCAGCCACCCCCAGGGCTCCGGGGCCCTCCCAGGATGATGTTCCGCAGGCGGGTGTGGGAGAGGTGGGAAAGCACGGAGCTGTTCCTGATCTGCCCACCACCCCAGCTGGTGCGTCTTGAGGAAGGGCTGGAAGTTGAGTCGTCAGGTGGTTGAACGACTTGCCAGCCACGAGCTGTTGCGGTCGTGCCCACACACTTACTCTGCTCTCCAGGCGAGGAGGCCCGATCAGCTTCTCCGCCAGCCGATCTGGCCGGCGCCAGCTGCACATCGAGGGCGCTTCCCTGGAGCTGTCGGATGACGACACAGAAAGTAAGACCAGTGACGTCAATGAGACGCAGCCGCCCCAGTCTGAGTAGATCCGAGGAAGCCGGGGGAGGCGATACCGAGGGACACGCAGGAAGTCACCCAGCGCCCCGGCCTTGGGGCCCCCTGCAGATCTGGGGGACTGGCGAACCGCACGACTCCTGAGAGATCAACTGTGTCTTAAGGACTTGCAGCCTACACAACTGTCTCCTGCTTCAGATTTAGGTACAATTGCTCCCCTTTTTATATATATATACACAAAACCTACACATATTAAACAGATCGTCTCATGATTGCGTCTATTTTCCATATATCCATCAAGAGACCATTTTATAATACATGTTAAGAAGAGAACCCTTTTTCAAACAAACTCTAGACCCCGTTGCCGGTCGCTGGGGCAGCCCCGGGGTTGCTGCCCAGTCGCTCTGCATGCTCTGTCGTACGGACAGCTACCTTAACCTTAGTTCTGTGTTCATGTGGCCCCTGCCTCCTCAGCCACGTCAAGTCTCTTAGAACGTTGTGGAACCTAAACTGCACTTGTAGCTCTCATTTCCTTCAAATAATGATCAACACTATTTCAGTGAGCAAACTGTGAAAGGGGCTTTGGAGAGATTAGGAGGGGTGGGTTGGATGTGGGGGAGCGGCATCCGTGTGGGGTGGCCATGCCTACCTCCCTCGAGTCGTGGTGTGCCCCCATCTCTTCACGTGAACTGTCCTCGGCCCGGTCTGTGCATAGGAAGAACAGCGGCCACCACCCAACTGAGGCCCTGGGGGCAGCCATCACAGTGACTGCAGGAGGGCCTCCGGAGGCCCCGGCTTCCCCAGTGTGCTCCTCGCTTCTGGAGCGAGCAGCTGCAGGCCCCGGAGCAGAAGCTCGGGGGATACCCTCCCTCGCCAGCCAGGCTCTCATGCTGACCTTGCAAATTCAGCCGCTGCTTTGAGCCCAAAATGGGAATATTGGTTTTGTGTCCGAGACTTGTTCCAAGTTTGTTGATGAGGTTGACAGAACCTCGAGAACAGATGCCACCTGCCTGAATGTTGACATGCCAGTGGATGTGACTCCTTTTTGATTTCTCCTTTCCCCTCCCCCTTGGGACAGTGTTACAGTGAACACTTAGCATTCTGTTTTTGGTTGATAGTTAATCAAACTGACATTACAGAAAGTGCCTTAGACACTACAGTACTAAGACAATGTTAAATATATTATTTGCCTCTGTAACAATCTAATGTATTAAGTTTTGACTGTGCTTCATATATCATGTACCTCTCTAGTCAAAGTGGTATTATAAACATTCAGTGACAATGAATCAGTGTTAATTATAAATCCTTGATCCTCTGCAACATGCTTGAAAACACAAACCTTTTGGGTTAAAAGCTTTAACATCTGTTAGGAAGAATTTGTCACGTGGGTTTGGAATCTTTGATTTTCCCCCTTTATGAATTGTACTGGCTGTTGACCACCAGACACCTGACTGCAAATATCTTTTCTTGTATTCCCATATTTCTAGACAATGATTTTTGTAAGACAATAAATTTATTCATTATAGATATTTACGCCTGCTCTATTTACTTGGAGGAAAAAAGCACCCGTTGAGAATAAACAGACCTCAATAAAGAAGAATAATCATGTGAACGTGAAATCTGTTTTCTCACCTTCTGTTCTCGATTTCCCACCTGTGGTCTGATCGGAGGTTGGAAGCTACAGAGAGTTTAAATGCTGACAGCCAGGCTGCTTTTATCTGAGGGCACTGCACTCGCAGAAACTGTCGGATGACAGGCTAAGTCTGGGCAGTCGTGGTGACAGATCCTGTTCTCACCGATGGCCTCCGTGTGTAGCTGCATCAGGAAGGAAAGGGCTGCTGGAGCTGGAGCGCCAACTGTTAATGGAGAAGGGAGCAATGCAGGGCTGCAGGATGAAGCCTTGAGGAGGGTTTCCAGTCACCAGCCAATGAAGCTCATTACTGGATTAAGAGGTCCAAGATGTTTCAGACTACATTTTCAGGCAGGATGCACATTAAAAATGCTTTTGGGAGGATTCAGCGACGAGATCCAAGGGCAGCTGTGAGCCCGTTAGGACAGGCTGGAGAGAAATACTAGAGGAACACAATCATGTAGAGAATGCTGGGGGGTTTTCCATGATATGCTCAGCTTAGGCTGGTTCTGGTGGTCTGAACTATATACCTAGGCTGCTCGGCAGTTGTGGGGATGTGAAAAATGGACAAAAGTGTTCCCTTTCTCCTGTGTCACTACCATAGGAAAAAAAGGTGAGTTGCACTTACCGTGTCTCAGGTGTGTTCTCACCCCTGCATTCAATATCTCAGTCCAGGGGTTTGTGGAATTCAGAGGCTTGTTTTTCTCAAAAAGAATCCTTCCCTGCTGGCTGGTTTAACTGGTGTTAATGTCACACTGTTTCCCAACTACTCAGCCTATCAGGAGAAACATATAATCTATATGAACAGATTCCAATCCCTGGGAGCCGGGCTCTGAGTGTCAAAGACAAAGCAATAGGCCAGCTCCCACCCCACAGGTGTATGGTCCATCGTGAGGAAGGACTCAGGCAAGACGTGGGAAAGCCTTAGCCTTTTGTGGAAATGAAGTTTAGATGAGCTCTGCTGGGGTTTTAACTCTGTCACGTACACTTCAAATGCTCTGTCTGCCCTTGCCACACCACAGTTGCCGCTCTTTTTAATGCAGACATTCTAGGAAATTCTTTTAAATTACTTTGGTACGGATAACACATCTGTGCCTAGCCTGACTGTCCTGGGCATTCTGATATCAGAAAGACTAGTGCCCTATCACATTTACTTCTGTCACCAATCTTCCCCATCCCTGGAAACCTCAATGAAGACGAAATGAGCTAGAAGACCGATATCTTACAACCGGTCCTCCCTATGGCTCTGGGTATCACTGACCCATGGCCCCTTCCTCCTGACGCCAACGTTGCTATGACAATAGGCATGTCTGTCAAGACTGCGGAAGAAAAGAGCTCACAGTTGTCTGAGGCTAGGAACCACCACTTCCTGCCCCGCCCCTAAAAAAAAAAAAAAAAATCAAGTCACAACAGGCCACAGGCTGGAATCTTTAGAAGGTGGAGACATGGCTCCACTCCCCCTAGTTCAGGCAGGCCTGGGTGAAGCCCGTGGCTGAGACCCGAGGCGAGTCCCCATCCACAGAAGCTTCCCAGTGGCTCTGGGAGGGAAAAGATCTTCACCAAGAGCTTTCCCAAAGGCTGAGCATTTGCAAGAATGCTATGTCCTGTGCACGGTCAGGACCAACCAGGCAGTCTACTTCCTCGTGTAGCCACCTGTCATTTGGAAATCTAGCAAATCATACAGGTCTTTTCAGAAATCTAACATGAAACACTATAAAGATATAATGACGTGACGCCAGTTTCCAAAGACAACATTAACTGTAATTACAGTGCCTATGTACCATATGCACGAAGTATGAACACATCCTTCACCCCTAACACCAAGACTACAAATTCTGTTTGATGCATTACAGCAGTGAGGTCTGTTTATTTTTTTCAAAGTCGCCCAATAATGGAATCCGTCCCCGCTAACTGGATGTCACGAAGCCTTATTCGAGATGTAACGTGACATAATCAGACTGTTAAACACTGGGTCTGACTGGCATCCAAGCAGAGCGCTGGCTCCTTCACAGGACCACACTGCACAGCAGCCAAGATGCTCCTGTTCTCACGTGTAAGCTCATGCATCTCATAATCACCTTCAGGAGGTGGCAGTTGTCATGTGGTTGTCATTGCCTGACTCCTGGTAAGGTCAATAAAGCCCAGCGTCAGATCTTGTAGAATGAGTGTCAGCAGCTTAGAGTAAAATTCTGGAGCCAGCAGTAGAAAATGCTTTCCAGAAGTACTGCATCACCAGTGCTCACCGCAGCGCAGACGATGACACTGCTTGGGAAAACACGGACAAGGACAACTCTGGGTCAAAATGTAGTTCAGAACGTTGGAATCACAATGAAGTTTCAGGAGTATCTCTCACATTTTCCTTTTTGTGTATGAGTTAAGTGTGATATGATGAAAATCTGCATAAAGAAGTCTTTCAGACTTTCAATAAACACAAAGTCTAAACGACAGGCGTTTTCATAGTTCCAGCTGGCACATTTTTCTTACTGGTTTACAAAATAAAGGTGTGTCTTATAATTGCTGACGTCTGAGAGTCCATTAAATACAGAACTCTCCTCACTAGGCTGCTGCTGGGGTGGAACCTGGGGGAATCTGCATTTTAAAATTTCCCCAAGTATGACTCAGCCCGGTCATCTGGCAGGTCAGGGAGCCCCCTGCTTTGTGCTACTTGGTCAACTCTCAGAACTACTCAGCACAATTCTTCAGACCAACTGGGGCAGTGAAAGAAAATCAGTCTCGTTACTTCAATTTTTAAAAAATTTGAGCAACTTTACAGGAAAATTTAGAACCCTTGACAAATAGTAAACTATTTTCATCTTTTCATTTCACCTCTGATTTTTTTTATAAAGCTGCAGTTGCATGCGCATCTATTTTGTGTCATCATTTCCATTCCCACAGATCAGCACAACTGCACACTTACATTTCAGTGGCTCTGGGGTCTTTTGTTCAGCTGACAAGTCATCCCAACCATTCCATTCCCCTGCCATCAGACATCTATATTAGTACTGTTGAGACCGATTTTGTTTGTTCTTACTACCACAGATGAAGAGCTGTTACAGCTTATCACATTGTTAGACTGAGTCAAGACTTACAGAGGCTAATTTAGTGACACCAATATGTAAAAGTGTACCTAGTCCCCTAAATTCTAGGTGACAGCAGGATTTGCTGGGGAGGGTGGGCAGTTAAAGCACTCACTTTTTTTAGAAGCAAAAAACTGCTTCACAGCTCCATCTACTGACAAGGCTCTGAGCCTCACACAGACGTCGCTGTTGATCCACTGCACAGAAAACTTGCCCAGTCCTGCCAGCCCAGCACCTCATTCCCAGGCCTCCACCTGCATATCATGACCCAAGCAGAATGCCCATATTTCAATGGGGGCAGCAAACTTGATACCGGATTAGAAAACACCCCACAGGTAAACAAGTGAAACATCTGTTCAGTTTCCAAACACTAACATAACTCCTGTGGGTGCAGGTGGGCAGCAGGATAAAGCATGACTCCAAATCATAACCCCACATGGCACAAACACCAGCACCATAAGCTTCGCTCTGTTTTCCAATTTGCCTCTTCACATGCACTATCTCATAAAAGAAGTCTGTTACATTAATATTTACTAGAGATTGTTTTTCCTTAAAATTAAAAAAGGGCCACTGTATTCCCATATATCATATTTTTAAGTCATGGGACCAGTTGTTAGATAAGATGCTCTAAGTCATAGGAAGATGGTTTGCAAAGATGCCTCCTGCCCCCGCTCCCATTTTTAGAAAAGAATTCAGTAAACACATTCAAATTTTAAAGGCCAAGCTAGTGCTCTCAATTTGTTTCAAACTTTGAGGCAAATATAGAGAGAAAAACAACCCATGAAGTAAAAGTCAGAATGTAGAAAAGGCTTATCTTAGCATCCTCTAGGCAAACAGTGTGGACAACTGACAGCCTGGACCCAACCCCCCTCAGGCCCTGTTCCCACCACCGGCCAGGCAGGAGAGACCTGGCTACAGGCTGCCCCCTAAAGCCACTGCCACACCCCAGGTCATGTCCCCTTCCCCAGAGGTGCCAGCTTCCACCTTGGGTCGCAGGAGATGCTAATGGCGTCTCCAAGACAGCTTCTGAGAGAAACAAAGAGTCCACACACGACAGACAAGATTGGGAGAGGAGGAGGGTGGATGAGCCGCATTCCTCCCGCTGCAAAGGCTGTGTCACCTTCGTGCGCATCACTTCCAAGCGTTCAGAATCAGCTCACCTCCTGAGGCATGAGACAGAGTCAAGGCCAGCGAGGCCTCGAGTTTGACAAGGTGGTGAAGGTGGTGAAGACAGAAAAACACTGGGCTCCTTTCCAAACCTGGCTCTTCCGTGAACCAGCTGTGTGAGCTTAGGCCAGTCACCTAAACCCTGGGCCCGCCTTCCCATCTGTAGACCGAGGCAAAACCAGCTCATCCTGCGCCCAGGTCACTGTATCTAGTTGCCACTTGCCTACTTGTGACTCAACACCCCAGCTGTGGCTTCTGGCTCCTCACTGAGTTGGTGGGGTATCACTTCCGGCCACTCAACTGGCTCCTATTTTATGCAGGAAGATGTTTCAGGAGCAAGGGATGGGAATGGGTGGTGAGATGAAAATATCTGGAGACAAGAAGCTGTCCTTTGCCACCTGGAAAATCAGCCCCCTCCACGCAGGGGAGACCATGTGGACCCAGCCCAGGGGCAGCTCATTCCTGAAGGTTTCAGTGTGAGCCACGCAAACCTGGCAATCGAGCAGCCCTAGGAAGAGAACCCACTCAGAGGATCTTTAGCTATACAGGCCAGCAGTCAGTAGAACTTTCATACCAGGAAGCAAATGCTCTATTTGAGCAAGTACAAAGCAGCATCTTGAACCAGATACAGAGGGTCACTGACTTACAATGGTTTAAGATTTTTTTTGATTCTAGCATGATGCAAAAGCGATACACTCAATAGAAAGCATGCTTTGAATTTTAGATTTTAATCTTCTCCCAGGCTAACAATATGCAACCCAATCCTCTCTCACAATGCTGGACAGGGCAGTTCCCGGTCAGCCACACAATCACGAGAGTCAACAACCAATACAGTTACAACCATTCTGCACCCAGACGACCGTTTGGTTTTTCACTTTCAGTACACTATTCAATCAATTAGATGAGATAGTCAACACTTAATTATCAAATAGGCTTTGTGTTAGATGATTTTGCCCAACTGTTGGCTAATGTCTAAGCGTTCTGAGCATGTTTAAGGTAGGCGAGGCTAAGCTATGATGTTCAGTAGGTTAAGTGTATTGAACGCATTTTCAATTTACAATGAGTGGGTTTACTGGGACATAATCCCACTGTAAGTGGAGGAAGATCTGGAATCCACGGAGAAAGCTAAAAGAGGCTTGGGGAATCAACCAGCTTCCTCAGGGGGTCATATGCCAAGGGCTGCTGCAGCTATCAAAAACCAAAACTATGTGGGAGTCCTGAAGGGGCCAGAAATAAGCCTAGCAGCACACTCCGTACTTTCACGGACCTGGCCTGTGCTCTCCTGGACCCAAAGCAGTGGTGACATCAGTGAATAACACGTGGGCCCCTGCAGCCAGGGCCCTACTCCCAGCCACTGCCTGAATAACAACTGGTGAGATGATCCCAGGGGTGTGCAGCTGGAGAGGAAGTGAGAAATCGCTGGGGAGCCAAGGAAAAGGATTGAAGCTCCAGAACTCATCCTTACTTTAACCAGAGTAGCTCTGTTTGTTATGTTTTAGATTTGGGGTTCCTGCATAAACAAAGAGGTCTGCTAAACGTTGAAACCTCTGATCTAATCCAACCCTTCCAATGATGGCTGGGAAAGAAGCTGGGAGGCTGCCCATCAGTAAGAGACCTGGAGTTTTCTTTTCAACTGTTCGGCCAGCAGAGCTGGGCACAGCACACACACCAGGACAAGCGTGTCTCGTGAGCCAACTTATGATGAAATCTCCAGGAACAACTAACAGAAGCTATTCCTGCCTGCACACTGACAGAAGAAAAAATGTTTAATGTATCCTACCTTAACGTTTCTTATTCACTTAGGAACTGGATTCACTTACTTTTCATTTACATATAGTCTTCAAACTACAAACTACTCCGTTTATGCTCTTTGTTATAAGCAGTGCTCAGAATCTGACACATTAGTACAGATGCCCCAGTTAACTTGCTCAAGTCCAGTCACCCTGTCTCTTGCTACTAAACATCTGGCACCTTCTCTCAGGGGACGAGGAGAGAAGCCCGGATCCAAGTAACCTCTAATCCCAGAACACCAGCACGTGTCATGAACAGCAACCCAGCAGGAGGACCAGCTCCTGGATCCATCGCGGTTACTCCAAGACTTAGCAAGCTGCCTCCCTCAAAGTGCAGGTCCTTCCTCCCAGATTTCCAAACGGGGCCAGGGCTATTCTCAGGCTGCTCCTGGAAATCACAGCTAAGAGCAGAAACCAGCATCAAGAATCAGCATGAGGAATACATGAGCCACAAGGATGTATTGTACAACACAGGGAACACAGCCGGTACTCTGTAGTAACTATTAATGGGATATAACCTTTAAAGATTGTGAATCTCTATATTGTATACCTGTAACTTGTGTAAAATTGGACATCAACTATACTTCAATTTTTAAAAAAATAAATAAAAAACAGTCAGCATGAGAATGCCTGTTCACACATCCTGAGGCCGCCTGAATTTTCTTTGCCCTATTCCACAGCTGCTGTCCATCCCCGTGTCCCATGTCACAACAGAAGTGACATTTGAACCTGGCTTTGCAACTCCAGCTCTTCTCTCCCAGGATGGCAGAAACCCAATAAAGCAACCTCAATCCTTTTTCTTTTTTTCTGTGAAATTTATTGTTTCCACATTAAAAGATTTTTTTTGAGGGGGAGTATTTTTTTTAACCACGTGATGATCCTACACAGCTGCCCAGAGTAGGACACCATCATAAGTCTTTAACATGCCATATGAGTTCTGAATAAATAAAAGCTACAAAGCCCAAGTTATATACAAATATCTTAGGCAATAATGTTTACAAACCTATGTACAATAAAACAAATGTAAACAGTAAATGCAGCATGAGAGTAATCAAAGGATGCACAGGGACAACCACTTATGGTCAGTCTGCCCCCAGGAGCTGGCACCAGCCAGCCCCTGGAATCAGGCCACTCAACCCTTCCTAACACAACTGGACAGGCCCTCTGAAAACAAAACAAAAACAGTCTGAAGGTGTCATTTAACTAAAGGACCAGAGAGCTGGCGAGGAGGTTGCCACCACCCCCTGCTCCGAGTCTCAGGCACATGGAGGAGGAGGAGACGGCAGAGGCACAGCCCTGCACGTGCCCAGGTCCCAGAAGCTCCTGCCACCTGGGCTCAGACAGGCATTCTGCTGCTCTGGGAGGCTAGTCTATGGAATGATAACTGCTAAAGTAAAACCAGAAGGTGCAGAAAATGTTCCCTAATTCAGTGACCTTCCTCTTTGCCAGCAACAGGCCCAAACCGTGGGGGTGGAGGTGGGGGACACATGATCCATGAGCACTGGAGGTGCTTGGGTGGGAGCTCAGGAGGAGAGCACACGTCGACCTGATTTGGGGGAGAACCTCTAGAAGATCAGCAATGTCCTAAACATAACTAAATCCTATCAGTAAAGCAGGGAGGGGGCTATGAGGCAGGTGTGATGAATGGGTACTTCTGCATCCAGTGACCAAGTAATACGTGTATGTATCACCTTGTGACCCACAAAAGTGCAATCATGTGAAACCAACGGCACTACGGCGAGAAGAGAAAATAGCCAGTATTGATGTCGCGCAGAGTCCTGGGGCTGGGCAGGGCCCAGCAGCCGCCACTGCATGCAGCCTGCCCTCTGCCAGCCGTGGGGAGGCAGACGGAGGGGCACGAGCTGGGCCCGGGCACCGAGGGGTGAGGCGTGGGTGTCCTGGGTTGTTGCAGGAGGGCGGGAGCCCCGACCTGGAGGCCAGGCACTCACACGCTGAGAGGCAGCATACCCGGTGCCGACGACGGGCGCGAGGAGCCCAGACCGGGAGGAGGAGAAGCCGGGTCAAAGCCGTTTACTGCCCTGTGGGGGTGGCCAGAGCAGAGAAGGAAGGGAAGAGAAAGAGAGACTGTCATTTAAAATCACTCGACACACAGCGAAATTCATTTGCTCTCTACAACTATTCCTCTTCCCGGCCTAGAGCAGAATCCTGATGCCCAGGGGAGAGAGCTGCCTAGAGAGCATGAGCTGGTGAGAGACTTGAGAAGCCCGTGGTCCTGGGGGTGATGACACTACTGCTCCCTTCTCGGCAACTTCATCACACTGGCCGTGGCAGCCACAGCCCTGATTGATTTCCCAACAGAGCAGGTTAAACGTCTACCAGTAGGGAACTACCTAAATAAATAAGGGTACAAACCAACAATGAAATACCATACAGCCATTAAAAACACATTCCAGGGTTCTTAACAGCACGGAAAATATTCCGAATGTAATTAACGCTAGGTGGAAAAAGCATCAGGTTACCAAACTGGATATGCTCCATAATATGAAGGCAAAAAAAGTGAGTAGTATATATTCTGGACTACAGCCCCTTATACAGCTAGACATTACCACCCAGAGCTAAATCTAGAACGTGTGGACACACACACGCACACCCACATATACTACAGAAGGAAAATGGAACAATAGTTACTCTTCTTCCCTCTGAGTTGTGGGTAAATTTTATTTACTACTTTATACTTTTCTGTTGTTTTCCAAACCTCCTACAATGTACAGGAACATCTTAAATAAGGGGGAGAAAAATAACTTTTTTAAATTGTTCAGCAAGCAAAGCCAGATGGGTAGGCTTCTCTGCCACCTTGTGAGACACCAGCCCCGCCCAGCGCAAGCACCTGCAGCCAGGACCCAGCCCCGCCCCAGCCCCAGCGCCCAGCAGCACAGCCTCAGGAAGCAATGAGGGAATGAGTGCAAGGCCTGCAGCCCCTCTCAGGACACCACTGCAGCCCTTCCATACTGACAAACTTCCTAGGAAAATGTGTCCCACTCACAACTTGGGAGATGCCACCAAGTGCAAGGGGCCGGACTGCCCCACACATACCCACCACTGTCCCCACCGGCCTACTCATCAGAGGGGCCCAGGGAGTTGAATACAGACTCACGGACAGAGGTTCTCTTAAAAAAACGAAACACAGACACATTCCCCACCAAGATCAAGATGACAGTTTCATACACTGAAGAGGTGAGGGCAACCTCCTGGAGAAACAGGCATGCAAAGAGACTTGACTAGACCCTTGACTACTTTGAAGAACAGTTAACATCTGAAGAAACTAACCTGCGTATAGATTTTGAGTTGGAAATCATGCTACGCACACAGGCCAAGAGCAACAGGAGGGGCTCTGACCAGTGCAATCTCTCCCTGTTGTCCATTTGTCCACCTCAGTGATGCACACTCAAGATTTTCTCTTTTCTCTTTGGGCTGGGGAGGTCTGATATTTGAGCTTCATCACATTTGAAAACTTTAAATCATCCCTCTCCATCCTCCAAGGCTGTATGCCTTTGCCTCTTCTGGGGACAGAGCCCACATCCTACATGCCATTGTAGCCCTCGCATAATAAGCCATTTGTCTGCCTGGTCCCAGAGCCCTGATGCCTGCCTCTCCTAGAACCTCAGGGAGAACTAACTAGGCAGGCCTCACAAACAGCTTCAGCTTTACACGTGTGGACATCAGATTCCCAGCTGTACAGAGCACGGCAGAAGGCAGGGCTACAGACAGTCCCCAAAACTCGGCAGAAAGGGAGCACTGCTGGGTGCCAAGAAGAACCTGGCACCTGTTCCATAGGCGTGCAAAAGCAGCAAATGTGAGGATGGCTCCACATGCAGGTTTAGGACTGAGATTCCTGCATTTTCAGGAATGGACCTTTAAGGAATGTTAAGTTCATCCCCATTGTTATACTGCCAAGGAAACAAAAGCAGGAGAAGGTCCAGCCATTCACCTGAGTGCACCCTGTGAGCTTGTCAATGGGGAGCTGGGCCCACAACCTGCCTCCAAATGCCCAGGCCATTATCCTTTCTCAGTTTCCTCCTGGCCCAGGGACACCTGACAGGCTCCAGTGAACAAGCACGTTGGTGCTCCCACTGCAGGTTGCTCTAATGGGAAAAATAAGCAGTGCAATCCAAAATATAAAGGGAAAACAAGAAACTAGATAAAGTAGCTTCTCTGTGTGGACAGAAATGGGAATTCTGGATTTGAAAGTTCTATGGGAGAGAGAGAGAATAACAATCCACCAGGGTCTTACCTAGCACCCCTCTTGGAGTCAAGAATTAGTAAGTAAAAGACCAGGAGGAAGGAGAAAGCTGAACCTAGAGGCAGAATTATCAGTCTGGTGAGGTCCCTTGAGGGAACCGCAAAGCTGTGCAATAAGGAAAGGTTTCCAAGAAAAGAAACATCTCCATACTCACCACATTTGGTTTTAGGGAGCAGCAAAAGAGCCGAAGGGCAATGTCCCAGTGGACAACACAGGACTGAATGGAGAAAAAAATGGGCAGGGATGGAGATACAGATCTGGGAATCATCTAAGTAAAAAAGGTTCCAGAAGCTATAAAATTTCCTGATCATACCACAAAAATCTAGTTTAAGAGTCTGAAAAATAGAGAATCCAGCTAAGATAAGGAACTAAGGTCAGCTGCAAATGGCAACAGAAGACGTGAAAGAGGGAAAAGAACCAATGCATGTTTAGAAGCTGGTCAGGAGGATAATAATTTAACACAATATAGATAAAGCATGGGGACTAAATCTGTCAAAGCAAGGACAGGTACACCTGAGAGGGCAGGAAAGAAAAGGAAGAGATTGGGCTAGAGCTAATTCAGGAGAGCAGGCAGGCACACTCCAGACCCGAGTCTTCCAGCTATATGGATAAATGGAAGCTCAGCACAGCGCCAGTCCTCGGCCCAGGCGCTGCAAACTGAAATTTACATTTCTCAAAAGGAAGGCAGCCCTTATACACGTCCCCATCTACCATTCCAGTGTCCTGAGGGAACACAAGCGTGGGCACAGAGGAAACTCCCCACACAGCAAGAATCCAATATCATTAGTGCTGCTTTGAGAAAACAGAAGACACTGGGTAACAGGAAGCACCCCAGGCCCGTGGAGGCAGTCATATGCGGGTCCCAGGGCCTGGCAGTGACCCCCAACCCCCCGCCCCAAGACGGCTGGCGTCATCTCTACCACACTCCCACCTGTAACAGGAGTACCATCAGAGCACTTCACAACCGCCCCAGGACCACTACAGCTAACTTGTTTTTGTTTTGCACAGCTGAACCAATAATAATGGTGCACAGTCAAATCAAACAGGAACTCGAAAGCTCACTCATGGGCTGGAAGTTGGTTAAAGCAGTCAGCCCCATGCAGTTAGTAAAACCAGTTTGTTAATGTTAACTTGTCTTCCACCACACACCATGATTAAGAATGAAAGAGCACAGCAAACAAGTTCAGTTACCCATGAACAACGTGGGAAATATAACTTTTTCTTGCCTAGTAAAAGAAAGGAAAAAATATTAAACAGTAATACAAATACTATTTTCACACCATGCCCTAAAATTAGTTTACGTTCACCTACACCCAACCCAAAAGAAATCAGACTGGCTTACAAAATTAGGACAAGTGATACGTAAGAAGCTAAACAAAAGCTATGGAGAAAACAAGAACATTTTTGAGAGAACTCAAATGACTGCACTGCATGTGAACTGGTGTCCTTTTGGATGAGTGATATGAACGGCTGGTAGCAGTTGGAGGAAACAGCAACAAAAGGGAAGTAGGCCCAGCAACCCACATTTTAGGGACTGAAGTGATCAGACTAGATAAAACCCTGACTCCAAGAAGCCCTCAACTAATCAGAACTTACAAAATATTTTCAAATCCCATAAAGCAATACATAACAATAAGGCTTTATGTTTACGTGGTAAGGCGTTGCTTCATCTCAAGATTCTGAGGGAAGCAGGAGCGCACAGTGTATACACACACATTCAATACGTGCACACGCACGCAAACCAACTTTGGCAAACTCTCCCTAACAGTAACAGTGCTACAGACAGACTCCTTAGGAGTGAGAGGCAGCAGGCAAGTTCTAGAGCCAAAGGCTTTTTTAAAATGGAAAGCTTCTTCTCATGCTGAAACTACAAGCTACACTTCTACAGGAACTGTCATTTATGCTTTTAACCAGCCAGGTCTAATAATGGAGCTGGGAGTGGGGATATTTACCCCTTCCTTTTGCAGCAGGTATATGCCATCATGGTTTTTATCTAGTCACCAGGTGAGCAGGAAGGAAGGCCAGAGGTAAAAAGCCAGGCAGGCCAAAAAGAAGCCAGAATCAAAGCAAAGCAGCAAGAACATAGCAAAACCCACAAGAGAGTTATCCTCAGGAAGATGGCAACTACAAACGTAACTCGAGCAAGAATAGGTTAATATTTGAGTGTGCATATACAATCCATTTACCATGTAAACTAAACACTTGAGAAAAAGCCAACCCACAAAACCATATTTCATTCTTAACAGAAAGAATACAATTAAAAATTTGTTCTGGGCTTCCCTGGTGGCGCAGTGGTTGAGAGTCCGCCTGCCGATGCGGGGCACGCGGGTTCGTGCCCCGGTCCGGAAGGATCCCACATGCCGCGGAGCGGCTAGGCCCGTGAGCCATGGCCGCTGAGCCTGCGCATCCGGAGCCTGTGCTCCACCACGGGAGAGACCACAGCAGTGAGAGGCCCACGTACCGCCAAAAAAAAAAAAAAAAAACAGAACAAAAAAAATGACACTCCTCAAGGTTGCCTGGAACTCCTAAACATGTGGAATATTAATTTTATTCTTACCACCACTGAGGAGCCCCAACGGTTAGAATAAAGTTCTGATTTATATGTTGATATTTTAGAATGTGCTTTTAATGAAATGTGTATAAAGAAAGCCCTGATTTATATATTATTTTAGAATGTGCTCCTTAATGAAATACATATACTTCAAGGTAGAATTCTCTTAAGGGAGAGAGAAAAACCAGAACACTCCACTCCACAAGGATGAACACAAAAAGCTTTTTAGAGTGGACTATGTATCAAATCAAGGCCTCCACAAATGTGCCACTGTCACTGAGGAAAGCAGAAAATACAAGTTCCTTTAAGAAGTTGTGAAAATTTCTATATTGCTTTCACAGAACAAGGACAAGCTGCCTCTATGACTCAAAGCAGAGACAGTGGCAAGGGACCACTGGTGCCTCAGTTGCTGCTCCACTACCAGCTACCTTAAGTCACACGGTCAGCATCTCAGACCATAGGTCCTAACCAGTTACCTAGACCAAGGCACACCCATACAAGAGTATATGCATGCAGCATTTTGTTGGTTTGTTTTTTTTTAATTGAGTAGAACAATATGTACTGACACGGAAAGATACTGGCAATATAAGTCACCACAGGCATATTGTAGAGCAGTATTTAAAGTATCCCAGGGACTTCCCTGGTGGCACAGTGGTTAAGAATCCGTCTGCTTGGCTTCCCTGGTGGCGCAGTGGTTAAGAATCCACCTGCCAATGCAGGGGACATGGGTTCGAGACCTGGTCCGGGAAGATCCCACGTGCCGTGGAGCAACTAAGCCCATGCGCCGCAACTACTGAGCCTGCGCTCTAGAGCCCGCAAGCCACAACTACTGGAGCCCGCGTGCCTAGAGCTTGTGCTCCGCAACAAGAGAAGCCACCGCAATGAGGAGCCCGCGCACCACAATGATGAGTAGCCCCCGCTCGCCGCAACTAGAGAAAGCCCGTGTGCAGCAACGAAGACCCAATGCAGCCAAAAAAAAAGAAGAATCCGTCTGCCAATGCAGGGGACACAGGTTCGATCCCTGGTCCGGGAAGGTCCCACACACCGTGGAGCAACTAAGCCCGTGCTCCACAACTACTGAGCCTGCGCTCTAGAGCCCACGAGCCACAACTACTGAGCCCACATGCCACAACTACTGAAGCTCACGTGCCTAGAGCCTGTGAGCCGCAACAAGAGAAGCCACCGCAGTGAGAAGCCCGCTCGCTGCAACTAGAGAAAGCCCGCGCGCAGCAACGAAGACCCAACACAGCCAAAAATTAATTAATTAATTAATTAAATAAAATAAAGTAGCCCGTAAGTTTTTAAAAGTGTATAGCAGATGCATAAAAATACGATTTTACATGCCTAGGAATAACCATAAGGATGCAAAAACAGTGTGAAAACGGAAAACACTTTTTACTTTATATACTCTGTACCAACTGACATATTTTTTGTATTAAGGATGTACCACCGCTTTAATCTTACAACAATTTTTTTAAATTCTCAATTCCCCAAAAAACATCTTCACATTATACAAAACTTGTATCTCCTAAACTGTACTTGATCCAGTGGTTTTATATTTTTCTAAAATCTTCAGACAGAAGGTTTGTTGAAGAGTTCACACATACATGACCATCACGTTCTCTTCTACTCTTAACAAATATTTGCCAAGAAAGTCTACTAGCCTGCAAGCACCTTGAGCACAAGGACTGTATCACAGTCATCTTTAAATCCCCAGAGCCTAACACAGCTGCCTTTCAAGAGTCTGCTTCCCAGGACAGAAGCTTCAGAGTCAGGGTTCCCAGGGCAACAGACTCCATGGGGACTAGAAGACAACAGACTTCATGTCCCCTAAGATCTCAATGATAACGCTTCAGGTAGGTTTATCAAACTGAGTTTATCTTTTCAAAGTTCAACAAGCTCAATTAATAATGGGCAACTTCACTACCCAAAAAATTAACGTTTAGAATTTCCAAGACTTACCCTTTGTCGAAGAAAGACGTGTGCCCTGATCGAGAGAACTTCGTGCCGTTGCTATTCATCACCCCACAGTTAACATTCCCTGAAATATAGGATTTTCGTGATGCTTGGTCCTTTGCAAAATTCCTGCAAGCTGCTAATTTGGATTCTAAAGCCTACAAAAGGAAGAAGGAATGATTTGGTTGTCAAAACAGTAGCTGCACATAAAAATTTGCATTTCAAACCGTTTCTATTTCAAGACTCAAATCTTATTCTCTCAGTTGATAATGGTGGCTGTTTAAGCCATATCAATCACCTTTCTAATAGAAAGAGGGAATATTTATGCTGACTCCCTTTCTAATGAACTCAGAATATACACTTCTCTCAGTGTTACTGAGGGATACAGATATAATCCTCACCTTACAACTAAGAAAAATGTGGCACAGTATACAGAGATGTATCCCAGGTCTCTTGGCCCTATCCACTGTTTCTTTCTAAGTTGTGGACTGTTAGTTGGCTAGTTGGGTGTGTGCGTGTGTGTGTTTTGGGAGCAAGCATTTTAAAGAATGCAAAAACATCACTTGAAAAATTTTTAAAGCGGCCAATTCTTTCTTTAGGGCTTCAGGTTAGTCATTTCTACTGTATCAGAATGGATAAGTTCATTTACAACACCTCACATGAAGTTAAATGCTATTCTACTTCTGAGAGCACACTGTAAAACGTCTAATACCCTTCGTCTATAATTAAATAATTCACCTGAAAATGACACCAGCCCATTAGCATTTACCTCTAAACTGAGTGCCTGCTTAGCACCTGTCACCACAACACCTGGTCAGTGCCAGGCTCTACAAACCAACAGATGACATGAAGAGAACAGAAGTTTCTCATCAATTTCCATTGCTCACAAATATCACCAACTCCCCCTTTCCCACAAACACTTTACCAAATCAAACCCCTCTCCCCGAAAAAAAAAAAAAAAAAGACAAAAAATAGTCCAATCCTATTATCCATGACACTAAGGAATGTGGAATACATAGATAAATTAAACCCACAGGGACTTCCCTGGTGGCACAGTGGTTAAGAATCTGCCTGCCAATGCAGGGGACGTGGGTTTGGGCCCTAGTCAGGGAAGATCCCACATGCTGAGGAGCAACTGAGCCCGTGCACCACAACTACTGAGCCCACGTGCCACAACTACTGAAGCCCATGTGCCTAGAGCCTGTGCTCCACAAAAAGAGAAGCCACCGCAACGAGAAGCCCGCACACCGCAACGAGAGGCCCGCACGCCGCAACGAGAAGCCCACACGCCGCAACGAGAAGCCCACGCACTGCAATGAAGAGTAGCCCCCGTCACCGCAACTACAGAAAGCCCACACGCAGCAACAAAGACCCAACGCAGCCAAAAATAAATGCATAAAATAAATTTATTTAAAAAAATTAAATCCACAGATAACATATTCCACTCTGAGAACCCTCCCCCCATCATTTCAACAACAGCTATTCAGACAGAGCAACAGAAACAGACTGAAACTTCTTTCTCTTCTCCTTTCTTAAAACAAAAGTACCATGACCTAGTAAAATAACAACGAAAGAAGGAAGAGAGGTAGTGACCTTGTAGGACAAGCTCTGAATAAGCATTTTTTCAGCATCTTCTTAAATAGACACATACACAATAAAAATTGAGAGCCATTAATTTCCTATATTCAAGACACTCATTTATTTGTTCTGATATTTGCTGAGAATCTATCATACAACAAGCACAACTTGTATCTGAGGTGTCGGTGAGACAGCCTAATGCAAGCACTGGGTCTGGCAGTCAAACACAGTGGCCTAGAAATCAAGGTTTAGACCATATCCACACCAAGTAGGAGATGAAACTGTGGTTGTGAAGAAGATCAGAAAGGTAAGGACAGAACTCTGAGCAAAATCAACACCGAAAGGGCGGGCAGATGAAGACCCAACAAGGTGACCAACAGGAACAGGCAGGAAGGCAAGCAGACGTGACACAGTGACACAGCATCAGAAAAGCAGAGAAAAGAAGGCCATTTCAAAAAAATAAGTCAGTGTTGAATGTTTCAAGTAAAATTAGGACAGAACAGCATCCCTTGGATTTGACAGCACTGAGATCATCAGTGAGCAATTTGAGTGGAGTGAGCAGGAAACATAGCCCAGACTAGGCTATCTGGGGAGTGTGTATGCCATCAAAAATGCTAACAATAAATGGAGACATGCTTTCAAAAACTTGGCTGGGAAGGGAAAAGAGAAACAGAATGACAGCTAAAGAGAGACGCAGGGTAAAAGGAAAGAATAGCTGCTTTTATTTTTGCTCTTAAGGTTTAAAAAGTGTATAATATGTAATATATAAATATTAGATATAAAGTAGAAATAGTAAATATAAAGTATATATATGTAATACATTATATATAAATATTGCATATAAATATTAAAACATATAGTAAAAGTGTGAAGATACAGGAGACATAAAGATGAGAAGGCTGGAAGGAATGAGATCCAAAGCACAGAGGGACAAAATTAGCCATGGGAGGAATGTGATACTTTTACCACTGAGATAAAAAGGAAGAACAGCCACAGAGGTAATAATAGGAGAGTACTAAAAGAAGGTTAAGAGGGGAAAACAAAGTTTAAATAGATGGCCTTGATTTCTCAGTGGAAGAGGATGCAAGAGTGGGAATGGGGCTTCCAGGTGAAGTCAGTGGACAAAGTAGTGTGAAGAAGTAGAAAATGAAATATTCATAAAAGTATGCAGGGGCTGGAGGATAACAGCAGACCAAAAATTCTAACGACACCTTAAAAGACAAACTGTCAGCTGAATGTGTAAACAATGCAAGGACTCTAAGTTCAACTTTCACGCACCATTTCTAAATAAACTACTTGAGGTACTAAAGCAAAACAGGGAACGAAGATGACAACATGGGGTCCAGGAACAGGCAGAACTAACCCAAGAGTATAATGAAAAGAAATTCAAGGCTGACAGCAGTGCAGCAGCCCTAGAAGCATATCAGAGCACTCAGTAAATAAGAAGCCGGAAGATACAAGATATAGCAAAGAAAGTGTATGTTTCTTCCCTCCACAAGAAAACAAAGGTAATCAGAAATGCTAAGTAAGACCCATGATAACAAAAATATCCAATGATATACAAATTATATATGCATACAAAGGCTGAATGTAATTTTAAAAAATAAAAATGGTTGAATTCGTTGAAATGACAGGATTTTAGCTTTTTTCTTTTTATTTATTTTATTGTGATCCTGTAAAAATTGTTTTGCAGTGAAAGTAATAAAAAAGATGGCCAATTTAAAAAAATGTTAAGAAAAAGACATACATGTCAACTGTGATACAAATATGAAAAAACCTAATACGGTTTTGAGTAAATAATAGGTAAAGAACAAAATGCTTGAAACACCTGTTGAGCAGCACAAGTAAAACAGCCCTAGAGCCCAGCTCCTCCTCTATGATTATTCAGTAAATAATACACATGTAGGCATGATATTTTAGGTGCTGTTGACTAATTTTCAGAACCAACCAATGGAGAGCTCAAGAAGGGACAGAGACACACACACACAACAGGGAGCTGAGATACAGTCTAATAAATTCATAAACATAGGTTTAAGCACGTTATTTAAAGTTATAAAAATAACCAACAGAAGAACAAAAAATAAAAAATTAGGAGGATGTAAGTTAAATTCCTCATCTTTATGCTTAAAGTTGTTAAGATACTGAAAAGCAAGCACATCACTTCAAGTTAGGTTACAACAAATAGGTTACACTGTTACAACGCAACTCTTACAACAGCTAGGTTAAAGCAATTATGTTAGGAGTAAGGGAAGATTACTCTATGTATGAATGATTTGTACACGTTACTTTTTATAGTAACTTTAAAATGCAGATTTAGTTAATCTGACAGTCAGACAACAATTTTACGAGCCAGAAAAGGTAACAATAGGACCTTCTATCTTGGCCTCCCATTTCTTCTTTATGTAAAGTATAATGCAATCTCTGCTTTTTTCAGTCACACACACACACAAATAAGTGAATGGGCGGTAGATAGTGGCAAGTTTCAGGGGTAGATTATTGAAAAGAGAAAAGTCACTGAGGGAAACAGGAAAGAAAACTGACTAATGCTAGAAATGCTAACTTTATAGTGGCTTAAAAATCCACAAGGTCATATAACTGTTTCCTGTGATCTGGATGCAGGAAAGAAATCCAGTTCCTTGACTGATCCAGGCTGCAGGTCTCCTCCATGGCCAAAGAGCCCATGAGTCAACAATGGCAGAGTAAGCGATCCGTGGATCACAGATGAGTAGGAACAAAGTGAAAGCAAGAGATAACCGAAAAATCCAAACAAGAGTACTGCTCTCGATAAAGTCAAAGAGTAGGTATTACACAGAGTAAAAAACTGAATAAGCACAAAACCAAGTTTAATATTCCAAAAGCCGAAATGTTCTGGAATGCAAGGTTAGAGCCAAGGAGACAGCACAGGAGTTGAGGGGGCCAAGCAGCAGTAAGACGTGTATGACTAAGAGAAGAAATTCATGTCATGAGCCAATGCGGAAGTCCTATGAAGAGAAAGCCCAGGGATGACCAGGAGGACAGCAGGCAGAGCAAAGAAAAGGATCAGAGGGCGGTATAAGACACACAGCCTTAGAGGAAGTAGGAGGAATCACGATGTTTTAGTAACAGCCATGGGGAACCCGGGAGCTAAGCGCAGGGACCCTCTGCAGGCAGAGGCACTGGCAAGGCTGAGCCCTGGAGGTGTTCACAGCCTCAGCTGGTCACTGGGTGCTCTTGCTCCTCAGCTTAATTCCAGACTTTACCACAGGAAGGTATCCTTTTTCCTCCCCTCGCTGCAAATTAAGAAATAATTCATTACCTTGGCAGCTGAAACACCTAGTGATAAATAATTAAAGGCTTACCCCTACTTTCCGTAAGAGGTCCCCCACGATGTTTAGTGCTGATATCCTAGCTGAAGGAGTCAGTGGACTGGTACCAAAGCCGTTTGGTATAGCTAGAGAAAAATAGAAGGTGAGTGGTTACTCTTGCAGTTCCCTTTACATTTGGGTTTTGATATTACAAAGCAGTATACGCTCAATGAAAAATCAGTATAGTATTCCAAACTGTGGATAAAGTGGAGATACCACAAATATCTCCGCTGGATGTTTAGATTATATCCAATTTTTCATCATTATAAACAATGCTAAAAGGACATATACCCTTAAAACATCTAGACAAGTATTTCTGGATTTCCTGCCAATTTGATAGTCACTTTGTTTTAATTTTTGTTTCCCTAATCAAAGAGTCATTTGAATCTTTTTTTCTGGAAGTCATCTGTTTAATCTCTGCACTTTTTTCTACTGGGTTGTCTTTAATCAATTTGCAAGGGCACTATACACTATAGATATTCACCTTATCTCTTATATATGTTGTACTTCCCAGTGTGACATTTATCTCTTCAACTTTGTGGTTTGGGGGGAGCCTTGGGCTTCCTCACTGCAACATAATAAAAATGTTCCCCACATTTTCTCCTAATGTTTTTCTAAAAAACTTTTCACCACTTAGATTAGTAAACTCATCAAATATCTAAAATTTTCCCCTCCAAATGGACATCTAATTGTCATAATACCATTTAGTGAAAAAGACTTATCTCATCTGAAATGGCACTAAAACCACACACTGAATTCTCTATACATTTCAAGTTCCATTAAATTATTTGTCTATTCTACCAGAAATAGGCTGCTTTAGTTATTATAGTGTTAAAATATATTTCCTAAAGGGCAAAGCCTCTTCTTGTTACTAACCTATTTCAAACTTTTATTGACTATTCTTGCACATTTACTCTTCCAGAGTAACTTTATTAAAAATAAAGTTTTAGGGGCTTCCCTGGTGGCGCAGTGGTTGAGAGTCCGCCTGCCGACGCAGGGGACACGGGTTCATGCCCCGGTCTGGGAAGATTCCACGTGCCGCGGAGCGGCTGGGCCCGTGAGCCGTGGCCGCTGAGCCTGCGCGTCCGGAGCCTGTGCTCCGCAACAGGAGAGGCCAGAACAGTGAGAGGCCCGCGTACCGCAAAAAAATAAAAAATAAATAAATAAATAAAGTTTTATTTTTATTTTATATCTGGCTGCATTGGATCTTTGTTGCTGCACGTGGGCTTTTCTCTGGTTGAGGGGAGTGGGGGCTACTCTTTGTTGCGGTACGCGGGCTTCTCATTGCGGTGGCTTCTCTTGTTGTGGAGCACGGGCTCTAGGCACACGGGCTCAGTAGTTGTGGCTCGTGGGTTCTAGAGCGCAGGCTCAGTCGTGGCGCACTGACTTAGTTGCTCCACGGCATGTGGGATCTTCCCGGACCAGGGCTCGAACCCGTGTCCCCTGCATTGGCAGGCGGATTCTTAACCACTGCACCACCAGGGAAGCCCCAGAGTAACTTTAAAATGAACTTCACAACTTTAAAAATCCTATTAGGATTTTTATGAGAAATTTAAACTATTGAATGATTTGGGGAAAATGGATATTGCAACTAAATTAAGTCTTCCTATTCTGAATCATGGTATTTAACATGATAATTATTCACATCTTCTTTCATGCCCCTCAGCAAAGGTTTTCAGTCATGCACATTTCTTCAATTTATTTTTGAGATATTAAAGCATGGCGGTTAAGAGCTCTGGAGCTAAACTGCTAGATACACATCCATCTCTGCCATTAACTGTGTGACCTTAAGTAACCAAATGTGAAAGGGGGCTAATAATAGCACTTAAATCATAAAGTTGTTGTTAAGTTTAAATTCATTAATAAATTTTTTAAATGCAGAGCACACAGTAAGTGCTCAATAAATGTTACTATTATTTTTATCTGCTTTCTACAGAGTTGTAGTCAGCAGGTAAAATGCTTCTGTTGCTGCTGCTGCTCCTATCCTTGTCCTCTAGAATATACTCACAATGAAGGTAGCAACTTAGTCTTATTAGACCGCTATCCTCCCCACATCCTGAGTAATACTTGACACATAACAGGTGCTCAATGTGATACAAATAAACTGCTCTACTTCTCTTGGCAGGAATTTCTGGATCTTGTTTTTCCCTATTCCCCTCGAATTTTATATTTTAGGTATTATTAAATCTGTACTTTTACGGTAAGTTGTCTTGAATGCTCTTTGGAAACAGGCATTTTATCAATAAAACACAATTAGAGTTAGACCACTTCGTAGAGATCAGCTCTTCAATCTTGCCACTGATTTCTCTAACCTCTGGCTTCTCACTGTGTCTGTGCAGACTTTCTTGTCATGAAACGGCAGCTTTTAGGTCAGTGAAAGCTCATGCTATCAGTTCCAGTTGAAAAACGTGTCTGTCTGGACAAATATTACTGCCTTAGGGCTGACATTATCGTAACTGTGCCAGAGCAAAGCTCTATGTCCTACTAACACCCCCTTGAGGTTCCAGACTATTCTGATTAGTGCTCAACTAAAGAATTTTCAGAATTTATCTGCGTAATTCTAATTAGTAACATAAAAGCAAAGCTTTGTTAATTCTCAAACGCAAGTAATTCTAAGGTCCTCAAATACACAAGCAGCCATTCCGAAAAACGAGAGCTTCTGATGACTGCTGTCATCTATATACTGCCTGCTCTGTTCTCAGCGGCAGAGTCAGCACATACCAGTACGATCAATAACGGAACTATACAGGATTTTCACATACCTTACCTCAGCTCATAAAAAGACGAAAATAGGGTGAATTATCTATTCAAGGGCTACTGAGCACTTGAAATGCGGCCAACACAATCAGAAACTCAATTTTAAATTTTAATTCATTTAAAGCAATAAAAATTTAAAATTTAAATAGCCACACTGGAGTAGCTACTGTATTGGGCAGCACAAACATGGAGCGCACTAACCACCCAGACAGAAACCTTCTCGTATCACTCTGAAAGATGAAGTCCTGTATTTTAAAAAAAAAAAGTGTGAAGACAGACAGCTTCCATTGGGGGAGAAGAAAGTATAGGGGGGGTGTGGAAGTAGCTGAAATATGATCTCCAAGCTGCAAAAACTAAATCAATCTCAACTGAGAGCTTCAGGGTTCCGTTCTTAACGTTCTATCTAGTGGCTACTAAATCGTTTTTCAGCTTACCTGGATTTAAAAAAACACCCTGACTGACGGCAAAAGGCATCTTCTTTCTGTACTATTCATCAGTTACTCTGAACATCACCCATGAGAATGGCAGCTACTGAGGCATGTTATAGCATGGACATGTCCATCCAAGCCAATCTTAAGTCTGAATGGTAACTCAGTGAGTCTCTGTACTTTCTGTGTATAAAGCCTTCTAGTCTCCCATGATATGTCAAGTGACAAAAGAAATAAAACTGCATTTAAATACAATCCCAAACACAACACCGTAAAGCAACTATACTCCAATAAAAATTAATTAAAAAAAAAAAATACGATCCCAAAACTTGTGTGTAACAAGGTGGCACAAACACAAAAAAGCACACACAATAGAAAAAAATGCAAAGTGTTAAGAAGAGTTGACCTTGAGCCCTAAGATTGCAGATGGATTTTATTTTTTCTCGTTTTTAATTTTTTCTACATGAACATGTATTACTGCTATAGTCAAAAAATAAACTTCCCTTAAAAACCTTTATTAAAATTTCAATTTATTAAGCTGCTCTTGTCTTAAATGTAGCCCTCATCTCACTGTTTCCTACTAATGAGTTGGCCTAGGAGAACAATGCCTTCTGCTTCACTCAGTGCTAGATTTAACCAACTTTTAAACTAAAATGATTGCTTAGGGACTTCCCTGGTGGTCCAGTGGTTAAGACTCCGTGCTTCCAATGCAGGGGGCATGGGTTCGATCCCTGGCTGGGGAACTAAGATCCCACAGGCCACACAGCATGGCCAAAAAAAAAAAAAAAATTAAAATGATTGCTTAAACCTTAGCAACCCCTGCTTCACCAGCAAAGCCTCTTAAGTGGATAATCAACCACAGGTTCAAAAAGAAAAGACACTACAAACCTTTTGGTGAAGGAAAGCTGTTCTCTGTTCCTTTGCCAACAGGAGTAGCTGGCAAAGAAAGTGATGCTTGGACAGCAGAATCCATCTTTTCACAGTCTAGAGTTGGAGAACTGGGAGCCGACTTTCTAGTTACTTCCTGCTGTCTCTCCCGAACAGCTAGTTCTTGTCTTAAATCTGTAAAATGTTGCAAAAGTAGTAATATTCACTAGAGGAAGCAAATACATCAAGCAAAGTCACATCTGAAATGGCATAAAGACACTCTTCCTAAATTACTACTTCTCAAAAATGAATTTCCTATTTAACAATTTTTATTTCCAGGGGAATAAAATGACAACAACCCTACTGTCTACATGATCATTTAGACTTTAAAAATGCTATAAAGTTAACAGAACAATTATTTATGCCTATATGAAAAAAGAAATAGGGCAGAGTCCAAAGTAGAACTCACAGTGGACATATATGACACAAAAATAAATATTCTTTACCAACTCATTTGCATTTATTTTGAAATGATGACGTAGTTTGGGGATTATTACAAAATCAATGAAGTGTATTTTTGTCATTTTAAATGGGTTGGCTTTTTTTTTTTTACTATCCTATGAAATACTTTGTTTTAGAAAGGAAGTAGTCAAAATAGTTGCAAATTGTTTTCTTGTTTTGAAATATTGAATTTTTAACCCAAAATTAATGTTTTCTTTTCCAGTTATACAACTGACCTACAGAATACTTGCTTATATTAAAAAAAAAGATACAAAGTTACCATACTCCTGGGTATATATCAAAAAGAATTCAAAGTAGGACACCGAGATATTTGCACATCCATGTTCATTATGGACATGTGATAAATGAAATAAGCCAGTCACAAAAAGATAAATACTGTATGATTTCACTTATATAAGGTATCTAGGGTGCAGCAGTCCCTCCCTTATCTGAGGAACATATGTTCTAAGACCCTCAGTGGATGATTTACGTCCACTGAGCGTGATGGTGCAAAATTTCATCCTGCTACTCAGAACAGTACACAATTTAAAACTTATGAATTGTTGATTTCTGGAATTCTCCACTTAATATTTTCAGACTGCAGCTGACCATGGGTTACTGAAACCATGGAAAGCTAAACCTCGGATAAGGAGGGACTACTGTAGTCATACCTAACAACAGTAAGTAGAACGGCAAGGCTTCCCTGGTGGCACAGTGGTTAAGAATCTGCCTGCCAATGCAGGGGACACGGGTTCAAGCCCTGGCCCAGGAAGATCCCACATGCCACAGAGCAACTAAGCCTGTGTGCCACAACTACTGAGCCTGTGCTCTAGAGCCCGTGAGCCACAACTACTGAGCCTGCATGCCACGACTACTGAAGCCCGTGCACCTAGAGCCCGTGCTCCACAACAAGAAGCCACTGCAATGAGAAGCCCGCGCACCACATGGAAGAGTAGCGCCCGCTCGCCGCAACTAGAGAAAGCCCGCGCACAGCAACGAAGATCCAAGGCAGCCAAAAATAAAAATAAATTTATTTTTAAAAAAAGAGAGAGAGAAAGTAAAACTGCAGTTGCCAGGGGCTGGGGAAGGGAGAAATGGGAATTTGTTGTTCAACAGGCAAACAGCTTCAATTCTGCAACATGAAAAAGTTCTAGAGATCTACAAAACAATGTGAACATAGTTTAACATTACTGAACTGTACCCTTAGAAATGGGTAAGATGGTAAATTTTATGTTACGTGGTTTTTTTTAACCAGAATTGTAAACTTAAAAATAGGATAGAGTTAATATTTTATACATTATATAAATTATGAGTTCTTCAGATGAATAAACCCTCCCCCAAAAAAGGAAAAGTCATGAAAAAAACAATTTTTAGAAGAGCCAATAAACATTAGCAAAAAGTTCTCACAAGTAGTAACCAAAGAACTACAAATTAAAAACAATGTGATATCAATTTACAACTTTCAAATAGATTTTTAAATAATTTTAAAATCTGTTTTTGGGGCTTCCCTGGTGGCACAGTGGTTGAGAGTCCGCCTGTCGATGCAGGGGACACGGGTTTGTGCCCCGGTCTGGGAAGATCGCACATGCCGCAGAGCGGCTTGGGCCCATGAGCCATGGCCGCTGAGCCTGCACGTCTGGAGCCTGTGCTCCGCAATGGAAGAGGCCGCAACAGTGAGAGAACCCCGTACCGCAGAAAAAAAAAAAAAAAATAAGAAAGAAAGAAAGAAAGAAAGAAAATCTGTTTTTATTATTCACAATACTAGTAAACATTGTGAGAAGGACACTCAGTCACTGCCAGAGTGTAAAGTTACCAACTTTCTAAAAAGTAATTTAGCAGCATCCATTACAACCATTAAAGATACTTGTATCCTTTGCCACTTCTAAGAATCTAAGAAAATCAAAGATATTCCCCAATATTATGTACAAGGACACTATTTACAGCAAAAAATTAACCACCAATAATAAAGGACCCATCAAAAAAAACATATATAATAGAATATTATACATTTTTAAAAACCTGTTTCAAAAGATTTTTTTAATGGCATGGATTACATTCACTATATTAAAGGAGGATAGAAAAATATATATATGTATATATAATGTGGTTCCAATTATATAAAGGAAAAAAATATACAGGTATGTTTATGTATAGTCACAGGGAAGAGTGGAAAGAAACACACCAAACTCTTAGTGGGTTCTTTCAAGATAAAGGGATTGACAGAGACTTTCAGTTTCTTCTTTACAACATTCTGCATTCTAACATGCATGAAAGAAAAACGGAGGGAAGGAGAATTTTAAAAGAAAGTATATATTCTCTATATGTATAATATGTATACAGCAATATGTACACATATGTAATGCTAATATGTGCATGACAAAATTACTTAGGACAAGCAAAAAGGAAAAACTCCAAACAAACCAAGCAGTATATATGCACAGTGGTAACGGTTAAGGCTTTAGGAAACAGACCAGGGTTTGAATCCCTACTGACAACTCAAACTCTCTGTGCCTCAGTTTTCTGACCTACAAAATGGAGACAATAGTACCTACCTCCTAGAGTTAATGATGTAGATATTGAATAAACAGATTCAAAGTACTTAGCATAGTGTTTGACAAAAGCATACAAACGTGTAGCTTTAAAAAGCTGATCCTGAAGCTAGCTTAGCACTCTGGCTCAGGGACAGTAAGGTAATAAATATTCTTTAAGTATAAATTTTACCTCTTGCTTCATCCTTTAACCTCTGTACAGAGACCAACAAAGATTCCTTTTCATCAAGTTCACTTTCTAAAAATGCATTTCGTTCAATGGCTTGATTTAGCCTTTGTTCAAAGTCTTCCAGCGAAACTATCGTTGCCCTAAAAAAAAAAAAAAAAAAAAATGAGAGTCCATGAATTAAACAAATAATGTGCAAAGAGCTACTACAAAAGGAAACTGTCAGTTTATCTCATGCCATTTCCTGACCTAGAAAGCCTGGCCCAGTTAAAAGAGAATGATCTCGCCCCCTTCTGACCTCTGGTGCATTTAGTGTCTCTACCACCATTTGGGGCCATTCAATGTATTCTTTTCTCTTAAATTCCCATCTAAATTCCTTCAAGTTTCTTAAAGGAAGCCTACTTATCATACAATTTATAGCTCCCCATTGGACTTTAAACATGAGTCAATGAAGTTTACATATTTTCAGGAAGAAAACTTTTCAATAGTTTTAGAGTATGTTAAGAATTAACTAAGAATTAGTTTAAAACGCGGTCCCAGGTCCCACTCTATTTACTTTCTTCCTACCAAGGTTTCTTCTTCCCGCATTTCTCATCTTATTTATTCAGCAAACATTCACAGGTACCTGCTATGTGCCCTCTACCCACTATGTGCTACAGAAATAAAATTTCCTAACCTCAAGTTAGAACTCTCAATGCCAGGGGTCCCCAGCAGGAGGTGAGCGGCATGAGTGAGCAAAGCTCCATCTGCCACTCCCCATCGCTCGCATTACCTCCTGAAAACCCCCTCCACTCCACCCCCACCCACCCCCGTCCCTGTCTGTGGAAAAACTGCCTTCCACGAAACCAGTCCCTGGTGCCAAAAAGGTTGGGGACCGCTGCTCAATGCCATGTCCAATTTTACCACCTCCCGTCAACTGTCAAAATGCCTCTCAATTCCATTTGCTCTCCTCCAACCTTCTGCCCTTGGCTTAATTCTTCATCCATCACCTGGATTACTCCTCAATGGTCTTCACATCTCCTCCTCCCTACTTTCAATTCCTCAGCATTATCTTCCCAAATCACAATCTGATAATACTCCTTTGTTTAAAAATTCTTAAGGAGCACCTCTTTGCCTACAGAATGACTTTCAAACATAGCTGAGCACAAGGTTCTCCACAACCTGGCCCCAAACATCTTCCAGTCTCATCTTGTTCAGCCATATTGTCTTTACACACTTCAGTCAAAGTGAAATATTAATACCTCATGCACTTTCCTGCCTCTCTGCCTTCGCATCTCTCTCTTCACTGGTTAACATCTACTCCTCCTTGCAGACTCAGCTTCCCCAGTTACCACAGAGTACTTCACCTGTGCCCTTCTCTATGCCCTGGAGCAGTCTGTACTCTGTACCAGTGTTTACCACGTGCATTGTCCCTATCTGTCACGCCTAAGGGCAGTGGCTAGCTTATCTTTGTATCCTCAACTCTAGCATCATGCCAAGCATTTAAGTGTCACTCAGATACTAAGGAAAGGAATATCAGACAATAATTGTAAAGTAACAGGAATTAAGTTTGGAATGGTTAAGAAACAACTAATTATAGATATATGCAATCTTGGCAAAGTAACGGCAAGCCACTATAGGCTGTTCAGCAAAATCATAATAAAAGCATTATTTTGAGACAATTCATTGGTCAGTATTAAAACAGAAGAGAATAAAAAGCAGTGAAAATTTAAAGACAGATCAGCTAGGAATTAACTGCAGGATTCAGGTATAAGATGTGAGGACCTTCAAGAAGTGTGGTAGTACTGAGAACATACAGGGAAGATGGAGGAATGAATGAGACATGTTTTAAAGAAAAACCAACAGGATCAACAATGGTACCTGAAAGAAGAAGGAAAAAGGAAAACCAGAAAGAAAAGCCTGGAAGGGCATTATCTGGGGAGATCAGGATTTTTGGTAAGTTTCAATGTGACGAGTTACAGGTGACATGAAATACCAAAAGGAAATGTTCTGGAACTAAGATCTAGGTGATAGGTTGAGCCTAAAACCAAATTCTAATCACTGACTGCCAACTTCGGTCATTGCAACAGAAGGCACACCGCTCACGTACCGCTTCGCCCGCTCCAGGTCGTCGTTGGCCTGCTCCAGCTCCCTCACGTACTTATGTAGCTGCTCCTTAATGGCCCGGGTCTGACTTAGATCATCTTCTAATACTGAGACCTGCTTGTAGCTCTGTGCATACTGATGCTCCAGTTTCTCCTGAAGGTGTGGGTATAGGAAGGAAAGCACGTGTCATTAACATATAGTTTTCTTTAATAAAGGATGTAACCCAAGTAAGGGGTGGGACGGGGGCGGGTGGGATCCAAGAGATTCACCCACAATCTGAGTTGATGGTACCCCTCTCTCCTTTTTACACTATTTAAAAACAATGACACATTCGTTCCAAGTGCCTTAACTCATATAAAATTAGGCAATCATTCTCCTCTCAAAGAAATTTAATAATGATCTCTTTGAAAAGAGGTAAAATAGTGAAACCGTTGCCTTAAAAACCTCAATCTTGGTGGGGGAACCTCCGGGTTCTTAGGCTGAATGCAGCCCAGGGTAAGTACAAAGAAGCTGACTGACAAGAGTTCAAATTCCCTATACCTCACCTTCCCCAAATCTACCCCACTGCCCAGACACAGGAACACCCCAAGCATCTGGCTTAGGCATGTGAGGAAGAGCAGCAAAAAGGGGTTAAGCTTTCACTCCTGAAAATTCCTTGTTAGAAGGGAATTTTTAAAAACTAAACTCCAAAACTAAAGGGACTACGAACCATAATGAAATAAATGTGTATTTCATACAAATATAATTTTAAAGTGCCACACAATAAGGTACTCTGTCAAAACAAATAATCAGGCAGCTTTTGAAAATTATAGGAACTACAACGTAATATTATAGCTAGGAACATTACAGCTAAAAAACTGACAGCTACAGTTTCCAAGTGAACTCCTGAACTCTAAACCACCTTTCCCTTGGTTCCATGAAAGCAAACAGTTTTTGTCAAAAATTCACTTTAGGCCTTTTTACATTTTTATGTTGCCTGCTGCTCTTAAGCTCCACCTAAAAGAATGTATTTCTCATTTTAATAAAACCCAGCAAATGAGACACCAGCTTTTACTGCCACAATTACCTTTAATGCTTCCACTTCATACTTCAGTCTTTGGTTATCAGCTTGCAAGTCTCTATTTCTTTGTTCAGCCTGTACTAACTGTGCCTCCAACTCTGCTTCTAATTCTCTGCTTCCTTCCTGGAATTCAACTAGCTCATCCCGAGCTTCCTGGAAGCTAATCAGAAACAAAGCGGGAAAGATCAGTTATAGTAGGAAGCATAAGGATCACCCTGAACATGATTATATATCAATTCAATAATTTTTGCCTGAACGTTATGCTACCATAAAATATACTAAACAATAAAGGCCATCTATTTTGCATCTCTTACTCTATATTCAGGATTCAATGAAAATAAATTATAAGCCTCAAAAGGATTCATTTTTTATACACTTCATCCCTTTCTTATTTAACATATTGATAAAGAAGCACATATTACTATCCACAAATTAGTTTAACATTTAGATTTGTTTTTTCAATGTAATTGGCTTCCTCTGTAATTCTATTATTTAATTTTATGCGTTTAAAAATGTTATTCTGAGAAGGGGCCATAGGCTTTCCCCAGCCTATGAAGGCACCCATGGCACAAAAAGACTAAGAACCCCTGCCATAGACGCACACTTCCCATATCCACTAGCACGGTACAGTAACTGGCTTCAGCAACAACAGTGAAATAGCAATAAAAGGTTTGACAGGACTTCCCTGGTGGCGCAGTGGTTAAGAATCCGCCTGCCAATGCAGGGGACAAGGGTTCAAGCCCTGGTCTGGGAAGATCCCACATGCCGCGGAGCAACTAAGCCCACGCGCCACAACTACTGACCCTGCGCTCTAAAGCCCACGAGCCACAACTACTGAAGCCCATGAGCCACAACTACGGAAGACAGCGAGCCTAGAGCCTGTGCTCCGCAACAAGACAAGCCACCGCAATGAGAAGCCCGTGCACAGCAATGAAGACCCAATGCAGCCCCCCAAAAAAAAAGTCTGATGAGTCTTACTAAACTGTTAACCAAAGTTGGAAGATGTATATGAATTTTAGAAAGATTTCATTTTAAAAAGAAATTTAAGATAAGTTTTGGTACTTAAAAAGGTTATCTACAAGTTTTCCCAACTAAGTGAAATGATTGAGATTTTATAAAATGCTCCATATACCCCTGAAGCTCTTGCCCCTCCCTCAAAGCTTTGCTGGCTCCAGACACTGATAACACCTGCCTGAAGAAAGTCTACCCTATGAAGCCCTAGAGAGCTTATCAGAATCTCCAAAACACCAAAATGAGGCAGAATCTGTACACCGAGCAGGCCAAAGATGGCCAAGAGCAGTAATAAGCTTTATAAAAGGAGGTAAACTACCAGGAGAAATCACAAATGACAGCTTTCTTACTATTTTAATAATTCGAGTAATATAAGGATTTATGTCATTTTTATATTATTTAAATACAAGCAATGCTATGACTATTTCTAGAATCCCAATCCTATATCAGAAACTCTAAATTTAGCTTTGCTAAAAAAAAAAAAAAAAAAGGCACAAACTAGAGATTATGTATTCCAAAGCCCTCTCCTATTTTAGGATGCTTTTCAACATTACCTTTGTTTATACTTCAAGGAAAGTTCCTTCCAATAAGCAGTTTCCTCCTTTAAACTTGAAAAATCTGGTATATCTTCACCATCCATGATCAAGAAAGCCTGTGAAATATTAAAGACGAAAATAAATTAATAGAGAACATAGGAATCTTAGTAAAAGTATAAAGTCTGGGACAACACTAAACCTGCAGCATTTTGGAGGGAGTCAAACATGAAAGATTCTAAGAGCAGTTAACTCTTTATTACAATAAGCTCAGGCACCTAAATCACTTCACTGCCCCACTCACAGGGACCACCAGCATTGTGGACTGGGTCAGGAGAGGAGATGAACAAAGTCACGGAAGCCACGTGAAGCGCTTCTAGTGGCGGCAATAGATTCTGGGGAGTTGACCCCACAGAATCATCCTGCAGCTGGTTCGCAGCGAACTGATCTTCTGGGAATCAGGTGACAGAAAACAAGCTTACTGTTAAGAGTTGCTACTGCTGCGTGCCCTTCTCTGTTGTACAATTGCTTCAAAACACCTGCTTGAAACATTTTATACCAGGTAGCCTTTCGAGGAGATCAGGGACCACATTCCCAATAATTTACTATCATTACATTTCTAAAAATTTCCTGTTAATTATCTTTTAAGTCCCAAGCTTCCTCCATAAGTCCACTAATTCTCCAACTTCAATGTTCTTTCACCTTGGTTCTTCTCCCAAGGCTTTCAGAGTGGGTTAAAAAATATCTATTTAGGGCTTCCTTGGTGGCGCAGTGGTTGAGAGTCTGCCTGCCGAGGCAGGGGACACGGGTTTGTGCCCCGGTCCGGGAAGATCCCACATGCCGCAGAGCGGCTGGGCCCGTGAGCCATGGCCGCTGAGCCTGCGCGTCCGGAGCCTGTGCTCCGCAACAGGAGAGGCCACAACAGTGAGAGGCCCGCGTACCGTAAAAAACAATAATAATATACATATATATATATATATATTTAGTTAACCTTGCATTTAGACTGGCTACCTAAAATTCCCAACTAACTGTCAGGCCCAATGGAATACCAAAGACGTTGGGGCTTGTCCTAGATTCACACCTAAGTGTTTCAGTCTTACCTCCTACAATCCTGTCCCCAAGCATCCTACTTTATATTCCAGCAATACTGTTCAAAATTGTCCTAATGCACCATTCTGCTTCAGGTCTGGATATTTTCCCTACCTGGAATAGCTCTCCTTCCTTGTGCATTTAGAAAGCTCCTATTTATCCTTTAAAACCTAGCTGTCACCTTTTCCAGAAATCATTTCCTGTCCTCACCCAGACAGCACTAAAATCTCCCAAACTCTTGGCCCCCATGAATATGCTTTCATGCATACATTTACCACATAATAATGCATTTGCTTACACCTCCCCCTACTAGGCTGTGTATCATTCTTACTGATTTCAACCCCAGCACATTGCCTGCAACATAGCAGATATTCAATAATATTTACTAAATTAAACCAAAATTGATTCAACCTAATCCATACTGGGTAGCAAGAATTCAAGGCCAGCTTTAAAAGTAAATTAATAGGGACTCCTCTGGTGGCGCAGTGGTTAAGAATCCGCCTGCCAATGCAGGGGACACGGGTTCGAGCCCTGGTCCGATCCCACATGCCGCGGAGCAACGAAGCCCATGTGCCACAACTACTGAGCCTGCGCTCTAGAGCCCGTGCGCCACAACTACTGAAGCCCACGCGCCTAGAGCCCGTGCTCTGCAACAAGAGAAGCCATCTCACCGCGTCGAGGAGTAACCCCCTTTCGCCACAACTAGAGAAAGCCCGCACAGAGCAATGAAGACCCAAAGCAGCCAAAAATAAATTTTAAAAGTAAATTAAAACTTGAAGTTGTAGAGAATACGGAATTCATCCAGCAGGACCCACTACTCACGAATGTTTGGGAAAGACATGGACAAGAACAAATACAGTACAAATTCAACTTGAGGGTATACCAAAGAGACACAAGAATGGCTTCTAGTTGAATAAAATTAAAATGTAACTATCAATATATACATTTAGTGTGATGCTTTTGCAGCCTACTGTGACTTCTTCCGGGTTTAGTCAAGTCTTTCCTGACCACATCGTCTACTATTACTTTTGGCATATTAGTCAATCTTCTAATTAACTTAAATTACCAATCAGCCTAAGAGTTCTCTGAAAAGAGATGGTCCTTGACATACGTGGCATCTCTTCCTGGCACTAAGCACAGCACTTTGCTCAGAGAAAGTACATAGTGCTTACAGACGTTTACTGAGCACCTACAATGTGTCAGACATTGTTAAGTGCTGGATAAACATTCAGTGGACCAAATGCACCCTCCTCTAATCTTATTACCCCTACACTGGCACACTTTTGTCTGTTTTTCTACTCTTGAAGATACCGTTATAGCATGACAGCATACTAAAATGTAAAACCCACAGTTAGGAGTCCTGCTGAGACTGGGTTCTAGGGTTTCCACTCTGCCATTAAATTCCTTAATGGCAATTAAGCAATCTGCTTAATCTCTTAAAGTCTCAGTTTTTTCATCTAATAAGGGTTTGGACTATACTAGCTGACTTGTTTCTTCAAATATGTATACTGGTTAGTAAATAATACTGATTAATTTTATAATCCTAACTCTTCATCAAAGTTCCCAATTCCTATTCAATTTCCCCAGATGTAGGGATAATCTTATTTGTAACTGTAATTTAATTTGTAGTAAGGTGTGAATGAAGATGAGGCTAATCCAGTAGCAAGAGGTTTATTTGTATCTCAGAAGAGTATCCAGAGCAGTTAAGGGCATCACCACATGGTATCAAAAACCCCTCAGACTCATTGCCTAAGTCTCCTTGACAACCCAACTGAAGATATAATTACAGGACACATGAGAGAAGCGCCTCAGGGTGAGGCAACAATCATTGTGTCCCTTGAATGCTCTACATAAGGTCTTTTCCCAAAATGAAAAAAAAAAAAAAAAGTTAATTACATTTGAAATCTATGAATCCAGCCGTAAAGAAGCTCCTGGGTGCTGGTCCTCAAATCTGGAGAGACACATCTGCCACTAGAACACTGGCAACCATGTATCAATGTGCAGCTCAAATATTCAGTTTCTCATACACAATCAATAAATTATGGTATTACAAAATGTTATGAAGATCTAAGGGACACAAGAAGCAAAGTTCTGCTGCTACTTTATTTTAAACAAGGAATATTTGGGGCTTCCCTGGTGGCGCAGTGGTTGAGAGTCCGCCTGCCGATTCAGGGGACACGGGTTCGTGCTCCAGTCCAGGAAGACCCCCACATGCCGCAGAGCGGCTGGGCCCGTGAGCCATGGCCGCTGAGCCTGCGCATCCGGAGCCTCTGCTCCGCAACGGGAGAGGCCCGCGTACCGCAAAAAAAAAGAAAAAAAAGAAATATTTTTAGAGCGATGAAAAGTTGTGTCTCTCCAGGTAGTTTCCAAGGGCAGGACCTGTGTCTTATAAATCCCTTCTGCCTCACCAGGAACATGGAATGCTGTAGAAGTCTAATATTTGAATCTGACTTATAATCTTTTTTTTCCTATTATTCCCTCTTTGCTTTCAAAGTACTGCTTTCCTTTATTAATATCGAAATTCCTATTTCAGAAATGGTGTAAGCCAAAAGATGTGTGGGCAGTTTATTTCTACCTCACAACACACCACCATGTATTAAATCAAAATTATAAAACCTATCATTCTCGGCTAGACAAAATTATCAGTCTGAGGCAGGCCAAGCCACATTCACAGTCACTTATAAAGCTCAGCATAGGCTCCACATCACAGAATAGGGAGCTGCTGGGACTTACTGGGGAGAGCCTTGGCGATAACTACTGCACACTAGCTACCTAAAATAATCACTGTCCAGCCCTTAATTCTTAAATATAAATGGACAACCAAGAACCACCAGACAAATGAGAAAAGCCAGCAGCATGAGTAAGAAAATCCTAGGACCTACTGAACCTAGAGGAAACTGGTAATTCAGGAAATGAGAGAACTCTTCTCATACAAGAACTCAGGAGGGTTACCTCCTACACATCTCCTGAGACAGCTACAAAAGAGAGAACAACAAGACCTGGATGGCACAGGCTATAGGAAATAGTGGCTCCAACCCAGGATTGCAAAGAAGAAACATCCCAAGACGAAGCCTAGTCCATCACGCCCCGAGAGTCACTCAGTCCAGATGGATGGCTCCGGGAAAAAAGGAGGAACCCCATAACAGACACCATGACTGGGAAGCTGGATAAATCTGAGGTTATGATAAAAGGACATCACTCTTGTGTCAACAAGAAAAAAAAGCAAGTTGGAAACTCCAGAGAAATCAAAACACAGTATATTTGGTCTTAAATTTACATTTAGTGTGTTGCTCCCTTTAAAGATTCTAGGATTTGGTAAACAAGTCTGTATTCTTTTTTAGGCCCTAATTCTGTAGACTTTGATGATAATACCTCTCAGCCTTGGTCTTCTCAAAGTGAATATTTCTTGTCCTTTTAGCTTTGTATTCACTTGGCAGCCATCTGGATCCCTTAAATATTTTTGTTGTCTTGCTTTGGAACTTCTCTAGATTACAAACATGCCTTTCTGGAGTTCAGTGACTGATGCTACTTCAGCATGTCAACATTCTATTCGCAGGTAGGATACTTTTACAGTTTCCAGTACTCCTTCTGTTACTATGCAGTATTTGATGATTCTGGCGATTGGTCCATGGGCCAAAGTCCTTATAGAAGTTCATAATGACTACTAGATGCCTCCCTTGGCATCTAACATTTACTTGAATGTATTTGAATGTGGAGCCAACCCTTCTACAAATAGGGTTAGGGTTGTTTTTATCTACAAATGTTATCGTTCACATGCCCAGTTTGAAACTCTTCTGTGTGAGGCTGTTTTTCATTGTTGTTGGCCCATTTATACAGTATCAGAGGACCTACAGCTGTTATTACTTTGAAGAGTGCTTAGCTAAGTAGTGTTCCCTGAGGAATCTCACTGTTTACACCTCTGGGTGTACTATAAAGTGTCCATTTGTCCCTGTTTTTTGGTTCTTGAATAGGGCCGTATTCTTAATACAACTACCAATTTTTCCATCAGTATCCCCTGGCGACTCAGGTTTTAAATAGCCTTTCATGTGAAACTTCTTGAGAATCTAGTTCTATTTCTTGTATTTTCCTTGTCCAACTACTTAGCTCAGTGTCAAGTAATTCTAGCCAAATTATTTTAATATGTGTTTTTATTTCACACTCGCTTCTGTTTTCTTGCTGAATCTTATGTGAGTTGAACGTAGACTACAATTTTTCTAATTAACAGGCTACTTTTACAAGTCACTTATTGGTCCCTCAAACAGTAATCTATGCCAGAAGGCTTTTACTAAAATGACCATCAGCTTTTCCAAACAAACCAATTAAAAACACTTAAGAGGGTATCAAGTGGTAGGAGCAGCACAGCATAGCAGTTAAGAGCCCTGACCCTGGAGCCAAACTGCCCAGGTTGGAATCAGAGTCCTCTACTCACTAGTTGACCTTGGGCAAGTTACTTAACCACTCAGTGACCCACTTCCTCACCTGTAAAATGGGGATAATAATTAAAATAGGGTTGTTATGAAGATCAAGTGTGTTAACATTGGAAAGTACTTAGTACGGAGTCTGGCACAGTAAATGCAGCATAAATTTCATTTTTTTATTTGGTTGCGCCGGGTCTTAGTTGCGTCGTTAAATTATTTTTAAAAACTGGTCGTTCAGTTGCAAACCTTTGAAGTATAACCACAAAATAAATGTGCTTCAGAATTTAGAACATACAAATGATTCCTTAAAATTAATCACTTCTGGAAGCTATGTGCATATTTCAGTGATACCGCCATTACTGAAAACATTTCTAAAACCTCTTCTGGAATAGCCTTGAAGAACCAGATTAAAAAATAAACAAAAAGCTCTTTCTTTGTGGTCATACCTCATTTCTACTGCCTAATTGGTATTATCCAGCTTTATCACTCTAATTTTATTCACGAGACTCAGCCTTTACAGAAATTGGATTTTTTACAAATAACAAAAATTTGCTACCTTCTCAGGGGCTATAAAGACAATCTGTTCATTTTGCTTCAAGTTACAGCAGGAGGATGTGTCCACTGTGTTATATGAAACTATGTAACTGGAGATATTAGACTACAGAAAGTCAATACAGAAAACTATACTGCTACCAAAAAAGAGAAAAAGCTTTAATGACACATCTACAATCTTCTGAAGCTGAAATGAAAGTAGATAATCATATACTCTTCCCCACTACCCAAATCTTCCCTCAATACCTTGTCCCATACAGACGGGGCGTGAACCCCAGAAGTATGACAGCTTCTACATGGGGCATTAGGATACTGTATGTGACCTTGAGATATCTAGATATCTCATTTGGGTATAAAACTGCCTGTCCCAAATGCTCTATTTACAAAGAAACTATTCTTTGTGCAATGCTAAGAAAATCCATTTTATATGATATTGTCTCCTTGTTAATAGTTGTAGAATGGACTAGTGAGACTGAAAGAGTTCTTCTGGAACTCACAATAGATAATAGATACCTTTTTACCAAAATTCTTCTACTCCCAAAGGTGACACATACAGAATTTTAAACTTTTCAAAGTCAATCATAAATATGGTCTCCCCTTTGGTCCTATCAAACTTCTTTTTCTACCTTATGAAGTGCTCAGAAACTTACGTCAGAAGTAATTTTAAGCTTTAGTAACCAAATTTATCCCAGTATGACTTAAAATGAGAATAAAAATAAGTTTTGGAGATGTCACAAAAGCAATCTAGGTTTCTACTGAGGTTTCTGCTTAAGTGTTCCTCATCCAATTTCAATTTACTTAACTTAAAAAGCCAAAACAGAACAAAAAACAACTGCTTCATAAGATTTCTATCTGGATCCAGTCAACTTCAACCAGGGCTAACCAAAGGTTTTTGTTGTTGTTGTTCCTTCTGATCTCTGATTTTAAACAATAACTTTAACAAAGATTCAGAGGAGATATTTTAGTTCCCCTTTATTCTCTTCAACACATGACTTAATGCTGCATTTTACCCCCACCAACTTCATGACTTAGCAAAGCCATTACCCTGTTTCATAAATGGATTAAAAGCAGCACAATTTATCAGACAAAATAATTAGCCAGCAACCATGACCAAGTACCAGCGTAGGATTTCTCTCACAAATGAGTAGCAGTTCTTATCCTAGGTAGGTCTGCTCAAAAACATTTGAACACATCTCCTACTAGCTTCTGGTATATTTTTGGCAAATTTTCTACTTTGCTTTCTAGCTGAGAAGGGTATAAAAATCCCACAAAAAGAAACGAGAACTCCAAGCCGGGAGATGTAAATCCTGGACCAAGCGAAGCCACTCACCGGCTGGTAGAATCCACAGTAGAAATCACTTAAGCCCCCACCCCATCTGGTCTCAATTTCCCCATCCGTCAAATGGCGAGAAGAGAATCAGGCACAGCCACTAACCAGGTGATGAGGTTCAAAGGAGATAGCGAGAGTGTTCTGAAACGAGTAAAGGCGCTACAGAAATGTAACAAAATTATCAGGAGTAAAAGAACCCTCAGTTCTTGGCAAAACGTAAAGGGTTACTTCGTTGCTTACCAACAAAAAAAAAGAAAGGCCAGCACAAGCAACCCGAACCCGTTTGGTGACACTCTTCTGAACTCCAAGAGGGGGGATGAGCAGTTCGGGACAGGCAGTCACGGGAATGCCACCGGAGCCCAAGGTGGGCTGCTTCCGCTCTGGCCCCTCGCTTCTCTCCCGCGGGGAGTTCTAAATCCAACCCGGCTCCGAACTACCCCCCCAGCTGAAGGGATGGGGGAGGGGCGGTGGAGGAGGGCGGCTAAGCTGCCGCCACCACCTCCAACGGAGCCGCTCCTTGCGCCACCAGCGCCCGGGCCCATGGTGCCACGTCCCGGCCTTCGACCCCGCCATCCCTCACCCCACCCGCGAACAGGGGCACATCCTAGGGAGACCGCCCGGCTCGCTCCATTCCAGGCGCCCCGGTGGGCCACACCTCGGACCAGGGCGGGAGGGAGCAGTTAGAGCGGTTGGAACAGTTACCGCCGGACTGGTCGCCCCGGAACCCGGGCCCGGCCCGGCGGGGCCTCGGACACAGCCCCCGGGCTGGCAGGCTCCCCGGGGACAGGCCTCGGCGCCGCCGGCTCGGCGCGGCACCCTCGGGAGCGGCCCCGCACCACAGGCTCACCTCCAATATGTCAAAAGCGCATATTCGCCGCCGCTCGACCGCAGTCTCCTCTCCGCTGGCCTGGCCAGGCCCGCCCAGCAGCTCAGCTCCTCTCCCCTCCGCAGCCTTGAGCTCCACTCCGCGCACCTCCGCGCCCGGCTCCTCCCCGACACGTCAGAGGCTGCCTGGGTATCCGAGGCCATACTGTGACGCACGGGGGCGGGGCTCTGAGCATGCGCGCGGGGGCGGCCTGGGCGGGGCTGTGGCGAGAAAGGTGTCACGGGGGGCCGGGCCGCGCCGGGCCCGGCGCGCTGACGTCAAGCTGGCGGCGGCCTTCTGCGCCGGTGTTCTGGGCCCCACTGCGTGTCGTTTGCGACCTTCGTGGTTCCCCAAAAAGGCTCTACGTTCGGGAAGGTGGCATCACCGTGGATGACAACTGCCTCCCGGTTTTCAGCCATCAAGTCCTCCAAGTGTCTGTTTCAGTGTTCCAGTTCATAAGAAGAACCTCGGCTCAGATTTCACCTCCGAGTCCACCTCGACCACCCAATTCAGGCGTATTCTAGGCCCCTCGTCACTCCCTCTCACAAAGACCTCTGTTGTTTCTACGGCATTCCCACTAGCTGAAATTTTATACTACTTCTTGTCTTCCTCTAGTAAAAATGTAAGTTCCATGAGAACCGGAGCCTCATTCCTTTTTTATCCCAGCAGATAGCTTGGTCCCAGGCACAAACTGGGAGCTCACATATTTGCTGAATGAATGATTGGTCTCGTTGAGGGGACCGAGGGAATATAAATATTTCCACTTGTGTATTTTATATATCTAAGCGTATATCTATTCATGTAAATATGCGTATGTATGTGTTTTCATTCCCTTGGGCCCCCAACTAATGGAATCCATTTTATTTATACATATTCCCGTCCAGAAGACTTGGAGAAGAGGGGGTGGGGTGAACTGGCTGAGATAGAGGAGGATGGGCAACTGCTCAGGGAGTGAAAACTTGAAGAAATAGAGCTGTTTTTAAAACAATTTTCGGAACTTTTGCTGTGTAATGTATAACATAATTCTCTCTGATGTCAGTGCTCTTGGGATTGGGTTTGTGAGGACACAGTGATGTGTAAGGTCTCAAGGTGAGAACAAGGTGAGCCTGGGAGGTCCAGTTATATTTTTGAGGGCATGGACATAAACAGGAGCAGTGCAAGATAGATTCTAAGAGGTGTCCAAATCAATGAAAATCAAAGAAGTAATTAATGGGATTGTGGGAAGGATGGCACCTCGAACTAGACTCTGAAAAGATCATGATAGTAATAATGAGTAGTTCACTTTTGTTGTTCCATTTGTATGTACTGGCAATTGTGCTAAATGCTTGGTTTGCATAATTTAATTCTCACAATGACCCCATGAGATAGGTGCTGTTATTATTCCCAGTCTACCAAAGAGGAGACCAAGACCCAGTAAGATGAGGTTGCCCAAGGTCACTTAACTAGAAAAAAGAGGACTCAAGGTTCAAACCCACCTAGTCTGGATTATCTAACTCGAGAAACCACACGATTAACCACTACTCTACTGCCACTCAAGAAAGGGGATGGGCTTCCCTGGTGGCGCAGTGGTTGAGAGTCCGCCTGCCAAGGGAGGGGACACGGGTTCATGCCCCGGTCCGGGAAGATCCCACATGCCGCAGAGCGGCTGGGCATGTGAGCCATGGCCCCTGAGCCTGTGCGTCTGGAGCCGGTGCTCCGCAACAGGAGAGGCCACTTATTAATAACGACTACTTATTGGGCTAGAGCCCTGTGCTAAGAGCTTTACATACATTTCCTCACAAGCAGCTTGGGAGGCTAAAATTATTACATGCATTTTATATACTGGAAAGCTGAGGCTCGGGGAGCTGAGGTTTAAACCCAAGCAGGTCTTAGTGCAAGCCCAGTGACCTGGGACATCATGGAAGCCTGTGACCTCATCCATCAGGGCACAGCTTCAGCCAGGAAAGCAGAGCCCCAGAGGTGATGAGCAGGGAGGCCTTCCTGTGCATCTGGTGCCAAGAAGGAACAGTCCCACCCCAAGAGCAAATAAAGGCTGCAGCTCTGGTCCCTGCCAAGTCCTGGGAAACACACTGAGTCACCTAATGGCAGGCCAGGCCCTGCAGAAAATGTGGGCATCATCTTCCAGGCCACCACCCCTCCCACCCAGCCTGGACCAGAACTGGTATTTGTCAGGACTGGTGTGTTGGCCCCATCTTAATGAATGGCCTTTGCTTGGCAGGGCTCTCAGAGGTATCAAAGCCCTGTACTGATCTCCCTCCTCTGTGTTGGTTGAGTTTTCTCCAAAGTAACAGCAACCTTTGCCCCACTCCCTGCTTCCAGTTTGTCCATCCCGGAAAAATAAAGTGGAGGTAAAGACGGAAGGCAGCCTCTAAGGGGAACAGAAGTTACAATCAGCTTTGTGAAGGTAGAAAGGTGAGTGAAGGTTGCCCCACCCTCTGCCTTCATAAACCATTAGGAAGGGGTTTGCTGAGGCATGGGTCCCAATCCAAGGTGTTTCTTGGATCAAGCCAAGGTGGGCAAATGTCACAGTCCCTGAGAGCATCCTATCTTCCCTACCACAAACTCCAAGACCCGGGAAACAGAGGCCAGGTTCCAACGCTGGAAGAGGAGGGGTTGACCAGCTGCCTTAGGAGAGGTCTGGACACTAACACAGACTCCAGCCAATGAGAATGTGGACTCCAGCCACTTCACACACTCACAAAAGGTGATACGGTGCACACAGGCCTGCCGTGAAAACTCTGAGGAGATGGGGCATGTGAAGAAGCTAGTGAATCAGGGGAGCAGACACCTCAAAGGTTTGATTCAGTCTGATCTCCATATCTCTTTGGCCAACTGTTTTCTGCTAAGCTATAGGGGCATCAATCAAGCTGGGCAAGGGACTCCCAAAGGCCCACTAGTTACTAATGGCCTGCTGGATACGTCCACGAGATTCCCATCACCACCTCCATCTCTTTGTGTCTAAACCTCAAAGAGATTCTCCATTTGCCACAGCTGAAATTTCCAGAAAGGGTTTCACGTTTCTGCCAATGGTGCCATTACTCCCCTAGTCAGGAAGGCACAAAAGCCTCGTCAACTCACCCATCATCATCCCCTTCCCCAGCTTTCACTTCACTCACGTGAAATGAAATCTGAAAGACTTTCCCTTCATAAACTCTCAAATACATTTCCAGTCTTCTGCCGCTGAATCTCCCCAGTCCGAAGTATCCCTTCCTGAACTTCTCTCCCTCTAATTTCTTGTTCCAGCCCTGCAGTGCACACCGCCATCAGAATAACCTTTCTAAAATCCCACTGTGTACAGAGCATCACGGGCAACAAAACTTGTTTTGGCGTCCTACTGCCTTTGTGATAAAATACACACTATGAAGTCTGGCCTTTAAGGGCTTCCCAAAGCAACTCCAACCCACTTCTCCTGTCTCTGTCCTGCAGTTTACCTAGCTGGGTCTAATCAGACCCTCCACTGTGTACCCCAAATGGACAATTCCCTTCCTCTCTGGGCCTTTTATTGACTTCCACTGCCCAATGTGCTACAGCTGCTCCCTAGGGCCAGCCTGCATTCTTCTCTGCCTTTTGAAGTCTCACTCATTGCTACCTCTTCCAGGAAGCCTTCCCTGATACCTAAAGCCCCAAAGTGAGTGCTCCTTCCTCTCAGGAGGAAGGAACTATATAGAACCCTTCATAGTTCACAGAAGACTTACTGAACACGGCCCTTTGGTCATGGAGGTGTCTGACCTCCCCCAAGGCACCAAAGCTCACTGAGCACAGGAATAATGTTGATTGTCCTAGTATCTGCCAGCAACAGGCACTTGGCAAACACTCATTTAACATGCTTCAGTGAAAGTCAGAGAGGGAATTCCCTGGCAGTCCAATGGTTAGGACTCGGCGCTTTCACTGCCAGAGCCTGGGTTCGATCCCTGATTGGGGAACTAAGATCCTGCAAGCCACACAGTGCAGCAGGTGAGAGAACGAATCAACGATTGGTGGCAATAACTCCAAATGCAAGACTGACAGCACTTTCTGGAAAATGCCCCACATTCTGAGAAAAACTACCATATAGAGAGAAGATTTTCACTGGTCTGAAAGGCTGAACTTAGGTGATGCTTGGTTACAAAGGAACTGGGATTTAGATCATGAGCAATTATGACTTTTCTCTAGCCCCAAACTTAAAACTCAGTCTATAGGGACTTCCCTGGTGGCGAAGTGGTTAAGAACCCGCCTGCCATCGCAGGGGACATGGGTTGGAGCCCTGGTCCGGGAAGATCCCACAGGCCACGGAGCAACTAAGCCTGTACGCCACAACTACTAAGCCCATGTGCCACAACTACTGAGCTCACATGCCACAACTACTGAAGCCCGCGCGCCTAGAGCCCATGCTCCGCAACAAGAGAAGCCACTGCAATGAGAAGCCCACGCACCGCAACGAAGAGTAGCCCCCCTCTTGCCACAACTAGAGAAAGCCTGTGCACAGCAACAAAAACCCAATGCAGGCATAAATAAATAAAAAAATAAATACTAAGAAACCTCAGCCTATAGCATCCACAATCTCCAAAGCAACATCTTTTGCTTTTGTAATTTACAATAACTACTAGTTGTTTCTTTTTAATTTAAAAAAACTATACACTTGGACCTTGAGGTGAGAAGTGATTTGATAAAGTCTTTCACTCATCAGCTATGGGTTTATAGTGCTTGATCCGTTCTAGGCCCTGGGGCTTCAACCATATAACTATAAAAAGCACACCCCACCCCCATGGAGCTCATATTCTAATGGAGAAGACAGTAAGCAAATAGACAAATTTATTTCTGTCAGGTCATGACAAGTACTATAAAGAAACCCACCAGGATAAGAGGGTACGGTGTGGCAGGGGCTGCTGCCTGAGGGAAAATAGGGCTTAATGCTCAGGGGATTCTTCTCTGTAAAACTGTCAAGGCCCTTAAAATAAAGGGCAACAGAGATGTGAAATTAAGAACGTAAAAATATGTGCAGGTGCCTTAAATAGAGAAGTTTATCTTACTTTCCATCCTAGTGCCTGGCAGAGAGTGGCCACTCAGTAAGTACTGGTTGAATGAATGACTTGCTAGGTGGTCTACAGAATGCCAGAGCCTTCAACCAGATGGTAAATTTCCCCTTCCAAGATAAGGAATGATAACCAGGTCATGGCTGATTCAAAAAT